AATAGAATTGAGTTAAGAGTCCTTCGTCGTAAAGACAAGCTGCGTACAGAAGAGGCGAATGCACAACTGCGTTTTTCGCGCGTGCCTAAATGCACTCAGATGTTTTCGCCTTTGAAAAAGTACAGAAAGAGAGAGCATGGCGTTGCAAATGTAGAAAGCAAGACCAAACGCATTTTTCAGGCCTGGCAAAATGCATGTGGGCAGCACTTGGACATCCATGTCAATCCATCGTTTGGATTGGGAAAGGGTTGTTCCGACCCCTGGCGGCTCCAAAGAGAAGCCTGAAACCCACGCCTCCATACTGAGCCCAATTTTTCTGATTGTAAACTCGGCCTGCCGAATTCTATGCGTCGCGTTATTGTTTCATGCCGCCTTCCCTTGATCTACAATCTTACTGTTTGGGATCTTCGCCGGCATAATTAATTCTATGTTAACCACGCTGGGAGAGGTTTAGTGGACTCTTATTGTACCAGCTCCCCTAAAAGAACATGTCTGTCATGGCACATGCAATGACCGGCGGCAGATCATGTCATATTCGTGGCATGCCATGTCATACTCCTGGTAATGGGGGGGCTTGTTGCTGCAATGATGCGGGCACAGCCCTGGTGCAACTCCACAGCAGCCGCAGAGCATGGTAAGTCTCTTCCAGATGAAGGATGTCCTGTGACATGTTGTTGTCGAACTTATGCCGATTGCTGACAAAACATCGTGCAGAGCGAGGCAGAAGGGAACGCGGAGCGCCACCGAACATCGACACGTCGGTGCAAAACTGGAAACGTTCAATCTTGTGGGGGGCTGAAAGTTTTATTTTTGTCTTTCAACGCCTATCTCCACGACCGGAGGTCAGCAGTTCTAGTCCGCAGTCAGAAAGCGCTGCCCACCAACGCCGCGCCCAAGCCGAGGTGGCTGCAGCGCGCACCGTTGGCGGAGCGCGCTGGGCACGGACGCGCACGAAGTGCTGGAGCAGTTGCTGTGCTCCAGCGTTCCACCATCCCCCCCGTCATGCGTCGCTGCGCAAGGGTTGGGGAAGGCCCGCGCGCGTCAGCGGCAAAACGAGCGACGCATCGCAACACAGGGCTCCGTCGCGCCGTAGATGACTACATCCAGGCGGCTGCTGCGCTCATTTGCGGGGACGCCGGGCGCACTGGCGTGTGCGAACGATTGCTGGGGGATCGCCTGGCGAACAGCTTCCCAGGCTATGTGCACCCGTGCCTGTTCCAGGCCAGCGCGCAGGCATGCCGGGGCGTAGCTGCCGTACGCATCTATGTGTGCTCCGCAGCCCCGGCGGGCCACAACGGCCCTCCTCGTATGGCGGTCATCCAGGGTCCTGCTTCGCGGTCCTTGTTTCCCTCGCTGGGTGGACGCTGGGTGGAGGGGAGCATGCTTTTCTGTCGGCATCCAAAAGACCGCGCCGGAACCATTCCCTTTCGTACGGCTTTGTAAGCCCTCCCGGGATGCCCACAGGCGATGCCGGATCATCGCCCAAGGCGAGGGCCATGAGCAGACCTGTCCGAACATTTTGGTCCTTTTTTGACTCGGCTCCATCCCCGGGCTCCCCGGCTTGATTCCGGGTGGCCCTGACGGCTGCAGCCTATTGATGCCATCAATTGCCCCCGACTGGGCACTTATCGAGGGCAAGTGATGGCGGCAGCGCTTCTATCACGCACACGATTGGGCACCTATCGAGGGCAGCGAGGACCGCCGGGGTCTATCACGCACCCGCGCGAGGGCGGCGCGGTCTATCACGCCCCGATCGAGGGCGGCGGGGTCTATCACACACCCGATCGAGGGCGGCGGGGTCTATCACGCACCCGTATCACGCACCCGATGCAAGGCAGCGAGGGCAGCGGGGGTCTATCACGCACCCGAGCGAGGGCGGCGTGTGCCCCCCCCAATCGAGGGCAGCGAGGGCGGCGGTGGCAGGGCAGCAGCGGCAGCGAGGGCGGCAGTAGCATCCGGGTATCGACTTGCTTGGGGGAGCTGTTTGGCGAGGGGACGGACCTTCCGCCGAGCAGAGGTTTTTTGTGTTGGGCACGGCAATCGGCCATCCGCAAGGCGCTGCTAACCTTTTTGGATTTCTTTGGCGAGGGGGTCGGCACGCAGAGTTGCCACATGCTGTCCCATGGGTGACCAGCACGGCCGCGAGCAAAGCCTGGAAACTCTTCCTGCTTACTCCCCGCATTCTGTGGGCGCGCCCGAAGCATCAAATCGCCAAGGACGGGCGATACTAGCCTGGCGAAAGCGCAAGCACTCCAGTGCGGGGAGGTGGCCGCTGCAAAGCCCGTAAACCCCAAGCAGTGCGGACTGGGCAGCCAGTGAGGCCGCCGTCTGGGCATGGCCCATGCATAGCAACAGAGCTGCTGGCAATGGCAATGGCGCTTCCGGCAATGCGGTGAGGGCCCGCACGGAAACCAGGTCCGCCTCGGCGACGCTCCGTTGCTCGTCGTGGGCGCTTTTACGGGCTGCGTCAAGGTGAGTGCGCTTGCGCTCAAAAGTATGCGGCAGCCGCTGCGGCTGGGCTGACGTCCGCCGGCCAGCGCGGGGCTGGCCACAAAAGCTGCATGGGCGATTGCTGTCCGCAGTTTCCACGGTCGCTGCGGTCGGGTGGGCCGCGCATCATCCGCCAAAGCCCTGGCCGCTGCTCCCGCAGTGGCGCCCGCCGCCAGCGTCCCCAGATGCCGCCAGCGCGAGAAGGCTTGCGCTAAAGTCCGCCAAAGCGAACTGTCCGGCACCAGTCACATCCTCGCGGAGGGCTACGTGGGTTGCGTTGGCCGACCCAGGCAAATGCAACACCTGCTCCAGTACCAGCCTGAGGAACCCGTTCGCCTATCTGCACATGCCGTGGCCAACGCACTACGCGAAGCACGCCGGGGTGCAGGCCCGGCTGCCGGAAGGTTACTCCTTCCACAAGCGCAAGCACCACCGAGCAACTGTGCACAGACGCTGGCCTCCTGTACCAGCTCATCGTGCTCGAAGCGCCGGGTCATCCACAGGCTCGCTGACGCTCCCAGGAATTACTGCGATCCCAAGCTTGCGGCGATCCCCACGGAGCCGGCCACCACGCTGCCACCACCTGCAGCAGCCGCTGCTCCTGCGAGGGTAGTGCGGCACACACGTCGATAATCTCGGCGACCACGCGCGCACGGGCCTGCTGGCCAGGCGGGATAAGCTCGTCGAACGAGCGTGGGTCCGGGAGGTAACGTGGCAACTCTCCCCGATCACACGTTTCGTGGCGCTGCCAATGACGCAACCGGCAAAGTAGCGTCCAAGCATCGCCTGCCGCTGGGCCCCGGCAAGATGCACTCATGATCCTGTGTGGCATTTTGTGTCTCTCGACGTCATGCGCTTCCGATCGGGCTTGAAGACTTTCCTGAGCAGAACTATTCACCCATCAAGGACCATGTGTACTGCATGCCATGTAACGTAGATGGAGCCCACAAGACAATCCAATCATATGCAGCCACTGGCTCGAAGGCATGTCGGATTCGGACTTGCGATTTGCCAAGTGATGTCAACGAAGTGGCACGGCAAGTTATTACACTGTCTGGTTTCATGCTTTTACGTGCATACCATTGTGTCTATTGGCTGGCGAGGTGCAGAGTCCTAGCTGTTGGACCCTCAGAGATGTGGCTGATGTGAGTGCTTGGATATGGCGATGTTTCGGGAATGAAAACCCTTCAAACTTTGGCTGTGTTGGATAAGGTGCTGGTTGGGGCTCATGCATTGGTTCTCGAAAGTTCGGTGGCCGGCACGGCTTTGTTAGCGACCTGCCTGTCATTCGCACAAGAAAACAGCCGGCCGCGACAGGATATCCAAGTCTTCAGCGTAAACAAATGCGCGGATATTGTGGACAAGGCCATTGGGACATGCTGAAGCAGTGGCCAGTTCTGTTGTCTTGATTTGCGAGTGCCAGGCAAACATTTCTGGCCGCGTCACGGAAGAGTCCAGCGTTTCAGCTTGCCGGAAACACGCGCAGAGCAAGGGCCTCAAGGCAATGCTCGTACGACATATAGCTCAACATGTCGGATGCCCCAACAGATTTTGCGGGAGGGCTTGCAAGTTCAATTTTGTGAAAAGGGCAACATTCCGGAAAACAGGAATTTAGGAGAACGAACATAGGTCATAATCTCCAATTTTTCCCGGGAGTTGCAGGACTTTTGGGGGCGTTTGAAGGCCGAAGCAGGCAGTACAATTGGCAACCTCGGGCCGTGAGAGTTGAACACAAGGCAGAAATCCCAAACCCTCGGCGCAGAAATTAAATCCCGTTGCAATTCATAAATTCATAGAGGGGAGAGTTTCCTTTCTTACCGTAGATAAAGGCCTTAGAACTGTTAGGAAGGTCCCATGCGATGCCAAAATGATTCGAACCCTCCGGGGGTCTGAAGTGGTGAAATGGTCTGGGCGGGGCACGTCCCCACAAGCTGACCCTATCCAGCTGTCACAACTCACAACCTGAGGTATGGAAACTTGTGGCCTTCTTGGCGAGATGCTTGCCTTGGTGGGGCCGTGCATGAGTAGAACACGTCCTGTTTCCGTGTCGGCTTCTGCGGTTCTGCCGAGCAGGCCCAGATGCGTGATGACTTCAACAAGTCCAGCTTCTGCGAGACGATGAGCTCTGCTCATGCTTGCTCCGCAGCGATGGTGCGCTCTCTGTCTCATTGTTTCGTTGTCTCATTGTCTCTAGCTCTGTCTTTGTGCGTGCGTGTGTTTGTGAATGAGTGAGTGAGTGTGTGTGAGAGAGTGTGTGTATGTGTGTGTGTGTGTGTGTGTGTGCGTGTTCGGGTAATCTTTCGTTTGTTCTCCGTGCTTGCCGCAGCCGGCGAAGCTTGGCAGCGGAAGGCTTAGAATGCACGGTGCGAAGGAGGATTTCCTGTCCTCGGATGCGGTGGCTGACCTTGCCTTTGGCCATTGCCTGTGTGGGTCTTACGAATGGATGCAAATGGGAGTGGAGCCTAAAGAGACATGGGTCAGATCACGGGTGTGAAATGGACAGGGACAGAGAGGGCCATGCGAATGCAGACAGCAGCGCCGAACACACGCTCACTCATTTACTCGCCGGGTTTGCGGGTTTTCGATGCCAGGCGCAGTCACCGACTGACGCACGGCACTCGGTCTGCGGGTGTGCGTGCCGGTGCATGCTCGAAACACTGGGCTGCTTTGTATGCATGGTTCCTCTTGGAATGGATGCTGGAAGACTTGAACCCTGAGGATGTCGTGCCTGCTCGTTTCATGGTCAGGCAAGCAAAGACGGACACCTCTGCAGACAACTATTGCCAGCCTCGGGCCCAGTGCACGCATCCAAAGCCCTATGCAGTACGGTGCGCTTAAATTTCCAAACCCCAGGAGGGGCAAATTGCCAAAGCAAGCTGTTTCAGGCGCTTTCAGGGCGTGCTTCGCGCTGCTGTTAAAGCATCTGATAGCGTCGACACCCTTCGCAGGGCCCTTGGCTCGAAGTAGCTGTTGTGGTCAGAGAGAGAGCACCTGTGCCTCCTTTTGGGGTGTGAGGTGAGTGCTACATGATGGAGTTGGAACAGAAGTCGCGGAAGTCGTGGACTTTGGGCGGAGCAGAGCATGGACTGCTTTGAGTTCAACGATCTCAGGACATCGACCACACGGGCGGCGACGAAGGCCACTCGACTTGATGCACCAGATTCTCTCAAACAGCACACGTCGCATGCAGCTTGCAGGCCCAGCAGATTCCACCCGCACAGCTCCAGGCGAGATCAACAAGCAAAGCGAATTCATGCAGCCTCGACAAAGCCTTGGTTTGGCAAGAGGTTGTCAGAAGCAACCTTCCACGGAATTCATGCGCTAGCAACGAAGCTGCCGTTTGTATGTCCTTGCAGGTGCAGCAGCCGATTCCAGCCACACAAGCCCAGGCAAGAGCTTCTACAAACCCCGCACTGCGAGCCAGCGGCATTCACTAATGCCTTTTGCTTCACGCGCCCCGCCATTGTTTCCGTACTTTTCCCGAAGAGATAGTTCATTGTGCCCAGTTGCCTTGCTCTTGCCAAAGCCTCATATTTTGCCCCCACCCCCCCCCCCCTTCATATTCCCCCCCTCCCCCCCCCGTGTGGTGGGGCTGATCTGCTAACAGGCCGAAGCAATTGGCAATTGGGAGGCATGTGGGAATGCAATTGTTGTGGGGGCAAAACGAAGGCCGGCCTTCCGGGGGCAGTGGGCTGGGGTCTCCCCTCCCGAAAGTCCCTGCCCCCGACCTGCCCCCCTTTCCTGTCACTGATAAGCCGCAAGTCTGCCTCTTTTGTTATGCAAGGCTTTCCAGAGTTTCTCTCGCTTGCAGGTTCAGCAGCAGATTCCAGCCGCTCAGCTCCAGGCATCAGTCACACTGTACCTGTATGGCCTCACACCCTGATCCAGCAGTATGCTCAGCAGCAAAGGTGTGTTTGATGATTTTCTTGCAGGTGCAGCAGCAGATGCCGGTCACACAGGCCAAAGAACATTTCCCAGATGCGGCTGCTTCGATGCCTTGTTGCTTCGTGGATGCCTTGTTCAGGAGGGTGCCAAGAGCCAGGCGCCGTAGCTTGCGTGCGTAGACACGGCCAGAACTGCAAGATAGAGCTTTCTGGAGTTTTTGGCTGGCAGGTTCAGCAGCCGAGTCCAGCCACGCAGCTCCAGGCAATGGTCGTCGGAGAAGACTGTACCTGTAATTAGGGCCTAACTAGAAATACGCTCCGCAGCAAAGGGGCGTTTCATGACTGTCTTGCAGGTGCAACAGCAGATTCCGGCCACACAGGCCCATGCGTCAGTTTTCGCCAAGCACCATGTCGGAACACTTCCCGATGTAGCTTCTTCGATGCCTTGTTGCTTCGTAGATGCCTTTATTCAGGGCGGTGCCAAGAGCCAGATTCCTGCCGCTCAGCTCCAGGCGACATTTGTTGCTGGATAGACTTTACCCATATGGCCTCACAGACACCCTGACCCAGCAGCACGCTGAGTGTGATGACTTCCTTGCAGGCGCAGCAGCAGATTCCGGCCACACAGGCCCTGGCTGAAGTTTTCGCCGCTGCATCATGTCAGAACATTTCTTGCAGGTCCAGCAGCAGATTCCAGCTGCTGAGCTCCAGGCGGGAGATTTGTCGCCGGATGAGACTTTGCCCCTACGGCCTCACAGACCTGAGTGGCAAGGTGTGCTTGATGATGTTTTTGCAGGTGCATCAGCAGATTCCGGCCACCCAGGCCCATGCGGGAGTTTTCGCCAAAGGCATCTGATCAGAACATCTCAGTGTTTCGTCGATGCCTTGTTCAGGAGGGTGCCAAGAGCCAGGTGCTGCAGGTTATGCAAGGCAGGGGGGCTTTGCAGATTTCCTGCTTGCAGGCGCAGCAACAAACCCCAGCCACTCAGATCCAGGCGAGATGTGTTGCCTAACTCTTCATGTGTTGAATGGCAAGGTGTGCTTGATCTTGTCCTTGCAGGTGCAGCAGCACATTCCAGTCCTGCAGGTCCGGTCGAGAGTGCTCACCGCGAGAACTTGTCCGGGACGTTAGTGCTACATCCGTTTTCATGGATGCTTTTGGGCAGGGCGTCAAGAGACAGGCGGCCTGAAAAGAGCTGCTCGGAGTTCCATGGCACTCTTGGAATTCTCGGTTTCCTGTTCAGGCCCAGCAGATGCAGAGCGCCGCGCAGGTTCAGGCCTGGTCACTGTAAGAGAATTGTAGAGCATTCTAGAGCATGCTCTCTGGGTACTCCAGTGATGTTAAGGAGAGGAATGTCCAAAGGAGCCTTCTCAAATACCGTATACCGCCCTACCGCGCCCTAAGGCCAAGACCAAGGCAGCGGCGCTCTGAGCGAAAGGGTTCAGACTGTCTGACTGCTCAGAAGTTCAGCCCATGGATCCTCAACTCCTCAATGCAGCTATGCCAGGGCGGTGTGCCGCCCGTATCACAACCTCCGAGAAATAGCCACGGCTTTCGAAATGCAGCACGAGCTTTTGACCCAAGAAAGAGAGGGCTCTTTAAAATGCAATTGCCGGACGTGGCCCATCGCGTCCGTCTCTCCCAGGTGGGTGCAGTCTGGAGAGGCCCAGGGGCGGCAGACCGGGCAGGGCAGAAGTATCGTGTGTTCGCACGTGCTGTGGCGAAGCGCGCTTCTTGGAGGCAACCTCTCCACGGAGGCGCCGCGATGCACCGCGAACACATGCGAACCACCCGTTCCTTGAGTTCAGTTGTGTCTTAACTCAGCGTATCCTTGACCCAGTTGCATCATGCAGATTGCAGCTCAAGCAGCGTCCGCCATGGCTGTGCAAGAGAAGGAATGTGCAAAGACCTCGTCCACGATGGCCGAGAGGATGATAGAGCTGGAGGAGATGCAGAAAGCCGCAAGGGAGCAAAGGAAGCAGCGCTTGGCCAAGATGAAAGCGGCAGATGCCATGCAGGGAAGCCAGCCGAGGTCGAGAGGGTGAGAGGGAGAGAGCTTCAAGTCGACCGCATCATGTCTTGAAGCGCCAACACAAAGTGCCGCCCCAAAGATGCAATAAGAGAGGAAAGTGCAGTAAGCGTCGGCTGACAGAGGCTCGGTGCGTGCTCTAGTCCGACCCAGGCCTTGGCCCCAGGGACCGCTGTAGAGGGCCCATAGACTCACAGAGCGAAGTGCAGATTTGCATAGATTTGCAGATTCCCACGCCGCAAGCACACTTGGACCTGATTCTTTGCGGTTTCGGCAGGGGGGAGGCTAGAAGTGCAGAGCCAAGCAACTTCCCCACCCCGCTCTCGACACTCTGTTGTCTTTCGAGAATCGCTCTCCCTCTACCAGGCCCTCGCAGTGCGCGAGGAGGAGCTGCGCGAGGTCTTCGCTGAGCTGTCTGCGCACTGGGGCCGATGTGCGTGGGCCCAAGGTTTCCTAAGAGTAGAGTCGGGATATTTAGGGATGGCTGGAGGTGAACGGTGCAACATGCTTCTCCGGCGTAGCGTCGGTTGATGCATGAAGGAGCGAAGACAGAGTCTGTTTGAGTTTGCTGCAGATGATAAGGGCATTCCCACACAAGGCTTAAATGCTAAACCGTAAAACTAAGCAGAAGCTTCTCTTCTTCTCTGTGGCCCTGCTTTTGGAGAATGAGACCAGGCTTTGGGCAGGAAAGGAGCTCCTCAGAGAAAGAGAAACCCTAGAAAGAAGCAAGGAATCCGTGCGTCTATTTACCGGGCGATTTAAATAAACAGACATTTTGTATCCAGGTTGGGCTGTACGTGCATGGCTCGACGATCTTCTTCAACAAAGAGCCGAAAGATTTGGAAGCCTGGTTGGAGAGTCAGCTGGCGAGCCCATGTCCTTGGCCCTCTGCCGAGGATCTCCTGGCCATCGTGGATGATGCCAAGCAAAGAATCGTTTCAGGCTCCAAGGAGCAGAGAGGGCATTCGAAGTGTGTCTTTCTCGTCGTTGCCTGTGAGGAGGCTCAGTTTATCATCGGCCGTTGCGAGGTGTCAGTCTACGAACGCAGCTAGGTCGACACCTGGTCATGCGTGCGGTTGCATGAGAAGGTTTCTTGCTGCCTCAGCCAAGGCGAATTTTGGTTGAAGAGGCGCGGCCTGCGGGGTGGGGGTTGGGGACGCTGTGGGCGAGATGACCCCAAGATGATGCGAGATTTGTAAGAGGAAGTGTTTGAGCTTTTGTCTGGCTTGTCAGATTGCTTTCGCATATCATGCACGCAGAAGAAACCACGGAGAGCGCTTTGGGAGGATTTGGCTTTGGCAGCTTTCACTTTTCGGGACACTTCATAACAAGGTTTCACTGCAGCCAAGCTTGGGAGTTCGCTGCTTTGCTGAGGCTGGAGGCCATGGATCTGACCATGCTGATCTGACCTCAGTCGGACGTGCTGTGCTCGCTGTGTTCTACATGGATTCCCGGCCAAGCTTGGCCTGGCCTTCGTGGTAATTTTGGGGGCCAAGGACTTGCGTGTCTACTCCAAAGCACTTCGTCCCCATGGAGATCGACGACGATCGTGTACGTAGCCTTCGAATTCCTTTCGATGTGCTCGAGGAATGTGGGGAAAAACGGGGAGAAGAAGAGATCGAATAGGAGCCGAGAAGACGTGAAGAGGCAGAACTGCTGGATCACCAGAGGAGTCGCTGGCCTCCTATGCAGAGTACACCTGGGTGAAGGCCCATCGCAAGATGGATGGCTTCAAGGAGCCCTTTGACAGATCTCTCTGAGGAAGCACTGGCCCGGAGTCCCAAGGTTTTGCCGCCCTGGGCCGTGCGCAGGACCGCTACGCGGCTGGCAAGAACTGCTACTTTGCCCCTGGCCTCAGGGCTGTCCTGTTGTTTTTATGTGTTTTTTTTTTTTTTTGCCTTTTTGGTGTCTTTTGGTACCCCTCATCAGTAGCCCAGAAACCTTTGGGTCAGGTGGGACCGTGTCCTGTTTCACCATTTCACCCCTTAGGCCTTCCGGATCTTGTCCTTTGGCTGCCAGCTGATTGACCACGGGTGGATCCCGGACCTTACCGCTGCCGGGGCCTCGAGGGCCCCTGGGAAAATCCTAGAAGAGGCCCGGATGTGGGGGAAATTCTTGAGGCCAATGGCAAGTACGAGGTCATGCAGATGGTCTTTGACGCGTTTGCTGTCCAGCCTGGCCTCCTGCTTCAAATCCTGTCCAAGCTCCTTGAACATCGCCCCTCCCCGCCTTCCTCCCACCCCTCCTTCCTGCCACATGCCCACCTGAATATACAGCCCCCGACAACCCGCAACAACAACAAAAGGAGCCTTCCACCAAAAAGCGGGGCCTCGAGGTGAATGGGATTTGGTCGAGGCACTCTTCGGCCACCTCTTTCGAGCCGAGCTCGGACCCGAGCTCCGACTAAGAGAAGGTTCTTGTGCAGTTCTGGGTTTCGGGGTTTGAAGGCATTTTATGGCATCTTGCGGGTTTGGTAGGGTTCAGGGATGTCGGGGTTTAGGGATCTGGAGGGTTCAGGGTCAAAGAGCTCGTGCTCAAACATTGGGTTGGCTACGCTACATTTGGGCCCGGCTGTGGCCCAGGTTAAGAGCTTGCAAAGCGCTCGCAGGGTATGAGCCTCCCAAGGCTGGAGCACTTCACGCGGAAGGTCGCTATGGCCCGAAACGGCGAGGAGGCCGCCGTGATTGAGGAGCAGCCTTTTTCAACGTGCATATGCCTGTGTGGAACGTTTGTGGAGTTTGGCCGAAGCCTGTTCTGAAGCTAGGGAAGCAAGTGAGAAAGAATAGCAGGAGTGCACAGAATGTACCCCCCCTTTTTTTTGCAAGTGGCCAATGTTGTCTGAAAGATGCTGGGCCAGTTTGTTTCTTCAGCTCGACAAGCAAAGTCGAGACACGGGAAATCCACGCAGCAGACGTTTGGATGAGAAAAGAGCCTTCAATAAACATTCTAAGCCCTAAGGACCGAAACCGAAATCCTTGGGAAGCCGTTTTGGGGACCAGAGTCCCGGCACAGAGTCCAACCCTTCGCACAGAAGAAGCGCTCCAAACTCCAAACTCCAAACTCCAAACTCAAAACTCCAAACCCCGCTCCCTCTTCTCAGGCCCTTCAGGATCAGAAAGGGAGAGGGCGACAGAGCGAGGAGACGACGACCGCGACCACGACCACCACGACGACGACGAAGAAAAAGAAGAAGAATAATAATCAGAAGAAGAGGATAAGCAGAAGAACAGAATAATAAGAAGAATAAGACGAAGAAGACGAAGACGAAGACGAAGACGAAGACGAAGACGAAGACGAAGACGAAGACGAAGACGAAGACGAAGAAGAAGAAGAAGAAGAAGAAGAAGAAGAAGAAGAAGAAGAAGAAGAAGAAGAAGAAGAAGAAGAAGAAGAAGAAGAAGAAGAAGAAGAATAATAAGAAGAAGAAGAGGAAGACGAATAACAAGCAGAAGAAGAAGAATAAGAAGAATAATAGAAACAATGAAAAGAAGAAATAGCAAGAATAATAATACGAAGAAGAAGAAGAGGAGGAGGAGAAGAGGAGGAGAAGAATAATAAGAGGAACAATAAGAAGAATAAAGAAAAAAAGAAGAAACAGAAGAATAAGAAGAAAAAGAAGAAGAAATAATAAGAAGAGAAATACTAACAAGAAGAAGCAGAACAAGAAGAATAAGAAGAAGAAGAAGAGGGGAAAGCAACGGAAAGGAACGTAAAGAGAGAGAGAGAGAGAGAGAGACAGAGAGACCGGAGCAGAGACAGAGAAACAGAGAGCCTTGAAACCCCAAAAACGATTTCAACCTCAAACTCCCAAACGCTACATATATGCTGTGTAAACATATGCTGCGCTGCCTCGTCTTTTTATCGAAAGAGCGTTCTGAGAATCCCAGGAACGGTGAGGCAGAGAAGGCTCTTAACAACACTGAAGGGAGAGAGACCCTGAAGGAGAGCTGTTCGGAGCAAAGTGCTGCAAAGTGCTACTCAAAGTTCTCTCTCTTGCTTGCTCTCTCTCTCTCTCTCCCTCGCTCTCTCTCCCTCTCTCTCTGTCTCTGTCACTCTCTCTGTCTCTGTCACTCTCTCTGTCTCGCTCTCTCTCTCTCTGTCTCTCTTTTTCTCCTCTACCCCTCTCTCCCTCTGTCCTCTCTCTCTCTCTCGCTCTCTCGCTCTCCCCTTGTGCTACAGCAAGCGGCTCTCGAGGGCGAAGGGCTTTATTCAGATGCGAGAACGCTACGTGTTGAGACCTAGGGTCAAAGAGCTCGTGCTCAAACATTGGGTTGGCTACGCTACATTTGGGCCCGGCTGTGGCCCAGGTTAAGAGCTTGCAAAGCGCTCGCAGGGTATGAGCCTCCCAAGGCTGGAGCACTTCACGCGGAAGGTCGCTATGGCCCGAAACGGCGAGGAGGCCGCCGTGATTGAGGAGCAGCCTTTTTCAACGTGCATATGCCTGTGTGGAACGTTTGTGGAGTTTGGCCGAAGCCTGTTCTGAAGCTAGGGAAGCAAGTGAGAAAGAATAGCAGGAGTGCACAGAATGTACCCCCCCTTTTTTTTGCAAGTGGCCAATGTTGTCTGAAAGATGCTGGGCCAGTTTGTTTCTTCAGCTCGACAAGCAAAGTCCCAAGACACAGCGAGACACGGGAAATCCACGCAGCAGACGTTTGGATGAGAAAAGAGCCTTCAATAAACATTCTAAGCCCTAAGGACCGAAACCGAAATCCTTGGGAAGCCGTTTTGGGGACCAGAGTCCCGGCACAGAGTCCAACCCTTCGCACAGAAGAAGCGCTCCAAACTCCAAACTCCAAACTCCAAACTCAAAACTCCAAACCCCGCTCCCTCTTCTCAGGCCCTTCAGGATCAGAAAGGGAGAGGGCGACAGAGCGAGGAGACGACGACCGCGACCACGACCACCACGACGACGACGAAGAAAAAGAAGAAGAATAATAATAAGAAGAAGAGGATAAGCAGAAGAACAGAATAATAAGAAGAATAAGACGAAGAAGACGAAGACGAAGACGAAGACGAAGACGAAGACGAAGACGAAGACGAAGACGAAGACGAAGACGAAGAAGAAGAAGAAGAAGAAGAAGAAGAAGAAGAAGAAGAAGAAGAAGAAGAGGAAGAAGAAGAAGAAGAAGAAGAAGAAGAAGAAGAAGAAGAAGAAGAAGAAGAAGAAGAAGAAGAAGAAGAAGAAGAAGAAGAAGAAGAAGAAGAAGAAGAAGAAGAAGAAGAAGAAGAAGAAGAAGAAGAAGAAGAAGAATAAGAAGAAGAAGAAGAGGAAGACGAATAACAAGCAGAAGAAGAAGAATAAGAAGAATAATAGAAACAATGAAAAGAAGAAATAGCAAGAATAATAATACGAAGAAGAAGAAGAGGAGGAGGAGAAGAGGAGGAGAAGAATAATAAGAGGAACAATAAGAAGAATCGGCCATCAGGTGGTTATTGTGCGTTGTTCCTGCCAGTGATGCAAATTTCAGAAAGCTTCGTGTTGGCCATGTCACTTTGATCAGTTGGATGCTGAGAGTTGCAGCTCATTTCAGCAATCCTGTTCCTGAGGGTATTTCTCACTCTCGCCACGCGTGTAAGCTCTGGCTGTGGTGCTATTCAGAGAGGTGGGATCACTTGCATGCTCGTATGGTGTGGGATTGGGCTGGTCATGTTTTCCGGCGTGACAGAGAGGGCATGATGTCTCAGGCTGTGCTCCATTTTCGCTCTTCAGTTAGACTACAAGGTGCCAGGGCGGCGAGGACTGGACCTCAAAACTTTGGGCATCGCAGGTTGCTCTCATTCCTGGAGCAGCGTGGCATCCAACCTGTCACGGCCCATGACAGGCAGCTATGGGCGTCCTACCTTCCTGATTGGCTGAGCTCATGTGGAATGGGAGATCTTGAGTGTCGGTACAATGTCCAGTGGGTCTCTGAGAGCCATCACTTGGGGAGACGTTGGCGTGATGTACAGGGCACTTTTCTTGGGCAAGAAATTTGGATTGTAAGTCGGCGGCCGGATGGAACCCTGATTCTCAGCACGCTGCGGCGATGTGATGGCTGGCTGCATTGGGAGACGCATGACTCAGGCTTGATGAATGTGTGTGCAGTGGTTGTGACCAACCTTCTGAGCAGGACGTTTTCGGTGAGACTGTTGATTGCAGGAGAGTTTCAGTCAGTCTGCAAGGCTCAGTGCCCGTGTTTCAGTCGAGACCTGGCGGCCCAAAGTGTGGTTGTCGAGGTCAGTTCTTGTCCCATGGAGTGGGCTAGGCGAATGAGGGAGGTTCTGAGGTCATTTTGAGCCTCCTGAGAGCCCGGCCTGCTCTTCGTGCCCTTGCGCAGCAAGACCCTAGGGGATGGCGCGGCAGAGAGAGAGAGAAAGAAAAAAAGAAGAAACAGAAGAATAAGAAGAAAAAGAAGAAGAAATAATAAGAAGAGAAATACTAACAAGAAGAAGCAGAACAAGAAGAATAAGAAGAAGAAGAAGAGGGGAAAGCAACGGAAAGGAACGTAAAGAGAGAGAGAGAGAGAGAGAGACAGAGAGACCGGAGCAGAGACAGAGAAACAGAGAGCCTTGAAACCCCAAAAACGATTTCAACCTCAAACTCCCAAACGCTACATATATGCTGTGTAAACATATGCTGCGCTGCCTCGTCTTTTTATCGAAAGAGCGTTCTGAGAATCCCAGGAACGGTGAGGCAGAGAAGGCTCTTAACAACACTGAAGGGAGAGAGACCCTGAAGGAGAGCTGTTCGGAGCAAAGTGCTGCAAAGTGCTACTCAAAGTTCTCTCTCTTGCTTGCTCTCTCTCTCTCTCTCTCCCTCGCTCTCTCTCCCTCTCTCTCTGTCTCTGTCACTCTCTCTGTCTCTGTCACTCTCTCTGTCTCGCTCTCTCTCTCTCTGTCTCTCTTTTTCTCCTCTACCCCTCTCTCCCTCTGTCCTCTCTCTCTCTCTCGCTCTCTCGCTCTCCCCTTGTGCTACAGCAAGCGGCTCTCGAGGGCGAAGGGCTTTATTCAGATGCGAGAACGCTACGTGTTGAGACCTAAGGCTCAAAGCAGAAACCAGTCTTGTCTTGAGGTCACAGAGGCCTTGCAGCAGCCGGAATCGACCTGGCTCTGTGCCCTCTGTGGTGAGACTGGGTTGCTGTTAAGGCTCTGTACAGGGATGTTCCAGTAATGGGGGGCTTTCTTGCTCAACGGCAGCCCAGGAGACAGCGCGGCCTCTGTGCTGGTCTCAGGTTCGGAACCCGGTTCAGATGTGCCAGCCGCACCATGCTTGTCAGAATGAAAGGGGCGTATGGGCCCCGAAAACGAGGGCTTCGGGCTTAGGGCTTGGGCCATTTAGGGTGTTCTGTAGGGACTCGGGGCTTAAGCAGGTGGCTTGTGGCAACATTTTAAATCAGAAGCTTTTGTGCCCAGGTTTGCTGCGCCACCGCCCGGGACGGTGCGCTGCGCCACCGCACCCTTCCAGGACTTTGCTCGACAACATACGTCAATATACATCAAGAGACCATAGCGCCCATGCTAAGCCTGATGGGAGCGCTTGTCGCTCCAGGACTCCGTCGGTTGAAGCTCTTCCAGACCAGCACCGCCGGTGCCAAGTATCGCTGTGAGTTGAGCGCCAAGGCGGGGAAGCGAGGGCGGGGAGGGCGGGGAGAGCGGAGCAGTACGATAAGCTGGAGCGCAGAGAGGGCGTGGTGGACAACGGGGTCCAGATGGCCAATTGTGAGCACCGCCCGGAATCTCGGGAGGAATCACCTAGAGAGTCGCAGTGGAAGCATGAGGGGAACTATGGGGAAACTGAGGCTTCCACCAGCACTGCATCGTGAAGGCGATCCGGCGCACAGTTCGGTCGAAGAAAGGCCCGAGAAGTCGGACAATGCCGTTTGCAATTTTCAGGGAGCTGTGAGACAGCCTTGCCAGAGGCGGTGCCCTCTGCCCCGTCTGCTCTGCAAAGCTGCGAGTGAACGTCAACAAGCAACGAGCACCGTGTCTGACACCGGCAGTAGCAGCGCATGCGCTCTTTCTAAATCCTTTTTTTTTCATCCGTCCTGCCTCTGATTCTTTTTTCTCTGGAATAAAACTGTCGCCTGAGGCTTTCGGTTTGTGGGCTACGAGGCGGGTGGCAGGGCATCATTCCGACTAGTAGTGACTAGCGGCGCTGTGGATGTGTGCGTGTGTGGTTCTTCATCTGGTTCGTCGGCCAGGCCAACTGAGACCGAAGGACTTTGAAGGATGCTGTGGCGGATGCCGTGAAAATCCAGGACGAGAGAGACCCCTCACAGCGAGGAGTACATGGTCACAGGCGTTGTCGTTGAGGCGAAGCAGCGAAGCCGCGAAGCCGGAAGACTTGGAGCGCTGCCATCGCCTACTTTCTGCAGGCATCTGGAAGGACCAAGGAGGAAAAAGAGGCAAGCAGGATGCGAACCGAACGGCAAGGCCTCTGACAAAACGTGCAATGGGGGCCTTCTTGGCCTCCTGGGTCGAAGTGGCCTTTGAGTGTCTTCTTCTGCTCTCAGAGTCTCACCTTCCCATCGACTTCCTCGACGACCGGGCTTTGCGCGGATGGGAAAATAGTTTGGCCACAGGAAGGCGCCGCCCTATGCAAAGCCGTGGGCAACCCTTCCATGCTGCCAGGTCCTGGGAAACCTCACAAAAGGCCCAAGCCCTCGGATTTCAGATACTGCGCAGTTGCGTTCGTGATGCTGGCAGCATCCTGCCAGCACCAGGCAAGAAGGAGTACACCGGCTTCCTTTCCAAGTTCGTGAGCTGAGAGGAACTCCGTGTGGGCAGCTTCATGGCATCGATGGTCAAAAGGTTCGAGAGCTGCTTTGATCCATCCACGAGACTCATTCTCATGGAACATGTCCCTCAGCAGCTTCTTGAGCGGGGTTGACCACCACAAACCACTGCACCGTTCACTGCACTTTTCACTCCAGCACGAGCTGCCGCCCCTTTGGCTTGAGTAGAAGATGCCGACCGACTCTGCGTTGTTGTAGTGGCCTGGCTTAGACTTGGACGTCGGGAGCATGCAGAAGAAACGAACATGTCCTGGTCTTCTCTCAGTTACAGTTGCCGTCCCCTTTTTCTCCTGTTTGCAGGCGCCCTCAAAGCTCAATGTTGAATGCGCGTTCTGTTCCTTCACTCAAGCGAACAGAATAGAACCGAATGAACTAGAATAGAACACGCACATGCACGCATGCGCGTGCACGCACACACGCACACACACGGGTTGAGCTCCCGGGGAGTTGGGATGACTCTTCATTTCCAGACCAAGCTCCAGACCAAGGCACTGCAAGCGATATGAACTCTGCATGAGTGTATGCTCGCTGTGTTACGAAACAAGGACGTAGCTTCCTTGGACAGCATTCAGAGATGGTCTGCTGATTCATGGCGAGCTAAGGGGTTCGAATCGACAAGATTCTCGTTGGACATGTTGAAATAGTAATAAAACAAAACAGAACCATGACCCCTAGAATTAGCACGGGGTGTACACGCACATGTGTGTCTGCACATGTACGTGTACGTAGCGTATACGCATACATATACGAATGTGTACATGTCTATGTGTACGTATACGTTTTTGTATTATGTATTATGCATTATGTATTGTGTAGTGTGTACTGTGTCTTATGCTAGTACTGCTTTTAACTCCCAGGTTTGCTATCTTGGTCCCGCGTGCGGCCAAGCACTCAATGCCGGGAGCTGAGAAAAAGGCGCCTCACGAAGCCTGGCGGACTCGGGGCAGACTTCGGACATTTTAGAAGCTATCAAGTATTACCGTATTACCGCATCGGGGTCCCTGACTTGGGCTCGTTCGACACGAGTAGCTGTCTCCAGAGGAACGATACAGATACCTAACGGCAAGCATCTCACCTCAGCATTAGAAAAAGTTGTCACATTCGGCTATATACTATCTTTCGTCTACAGTAAGCATATACATATAAGTCATTATAGCTGAATAGAATAGAACGTATAATTGCATCACTGTGTATAAGATTTTGTCATTAGAAGCTCAGTTATATATGTATACATATATATAGTTGCAACAACAACCTCACGGGGGAGGAGAAGTGGAGTCGAGCCCGGAGCGCCGCTGCGCACAAAGCAAATCCCCTAGCACCGTCGTCGCTGCTCGTGTGTTTCAGGGAGAAAGTCAACTCACAGAGGCATATGATATACAGGTACCATTGAAGCAGACCGAGTATGACTGCTTAAGCTGAGCGGTGGGGCACGGCTCCAAAAGCATTGCTTATCCGCAGCCTGCGAGAAACGAAGAATTTGGTTGTCGCCTCACTGGGAGGCATGTTCGCACAGAGGCTCTTCAGCTCATATTCTAATGCTGGACCCCAACAGCCGGCACAAGTTGCCCATGCTTCGACGAGCCGAGGAGGTTCGAGGGTTGCATGTCAAAGCCTAGATGGTGTCACATCATGCTACTTGAATAGATAAATCACCAAAAGATGTGTGCGTGGCAGACTAGTTGAACGTTGAACTAGACTTTTTCCTCTATTCGGGTCCCTCACAATTTGAAAGTTCACATAGTTCAGCTTTGGAATCTTGGAAGAGAACGAAGGACGGGTACTGGCACAACCGATGCTCGTTTGAAGCATCAGCGCTCGAGACGAAAACCCTCAACGACTCAACGCCCAGCGTCTGACTTCCCGATTAAAATGGTAGTCCAAAGCCTTTGAATTGAACTGTAAAGGCCAGTTAGCAGCATGATATTCAAAGTAGAAAAACTTCATGATGTTGCACAAATCAGTTAATCGAGCGACGCTTTTTGTTAAGAGTATTGGTCTATACGTGCTGTGGACTGAGGGCTGAAAGTACTGTTATTGTTGGAGGCTCTTGGCTTTTGTTTTGTAAATCAATTAACGAAATTAGCCGCATAGAATGCAATAAAGACGACCTCCTCAACAAGTTATAGCTTCTTGAGTTTGACTTATACCTTGGACTCCGACTTATGTACATTGTCCAGCCAACATTTTTGGTGTGAGCTTCTGAACTGCGGGACCGAATACAGTGAGAGTCTGACTCAACGCACGCTACCATTACATGTCCTATGTGTCTAACGGGACACGTGTGAATCAAGCGCCGACCTATGTCAAGACTCGACATGGCGAGGTCGGGGATGGTCTAAAAATAGTCTGGTTATAACCTAACCTGATGCTGAGGTTAGAACTCTTACGTGGTTCTAACGATTTTTTCTATTCAAAGCCAACCGGAATAGGCAGATGCCCGAAGATGTATACCAGGGACCTAGACTCCTAAAGCTGCAAAGAAGATGACGTATGTATGTGTTTTGAAGCACCTTGGTCTTAGGTCTTAGCAGGCTTGCAGCGGAAGCAGTGTCCTCGTCACAAGAATGTCTGCCGAACCGGGAAGGCGGGGGGTGGCATATTACAGTTGACTGGCAACCACAAAGTGCGGATAATCCAAGGGGGTGTACAGTGCGAGCTTTTTGTTAAGAAAGTTGTCCAGACAGTGCAGAGGTCACTTACTTCTTAAGTTCCATTGTCCTTGAGTTTCGGTATGGAAGAGATACTTATCTCTTCTTCTCTCGTTGAAATAAGGCCCAGAGATCCCCTTCAGAAAGCCGCACGGAGGCGCTTGTTTTTCCACCTGAAAAGAGAGCCCGGAACACAAAACCCACACTGTTTGATTTTCTTGTGCTAATTTGATAGGCTTTTTGCTGAAAAGTCGAATGGGGTGCCTCTAACTGTGCAATAGAGCCGTTCAGAAAACCTCACCTGCTACTGCGCAAAATCAAAGGTGCTTGTTTTTCCACTTGGAAAGAAAGCCCGGAGCCCAAAACTCGCACTGTTTGATTTCTTGTGCTACTTTTATAAGCATTGCTGGAAAGTGGAATGGGGCGCCTCTAAGCGTGCATTTGAGTATCTCTCTTAGTTAAACAAGGCCCAGAAATCCCGTTCAGAAAACTGCGCCTGCCAATGCGGGAAAAAAAACAAAGGTGCTTGTTTGTTCACCTGGAAAGAGAGCCCGGCACAAAGCCCACATTGTTTGACTTGTTGTGCGAACTTGATAGGCATTTTACTGGAAAGTGGAATGGGGTGCATCGAACTGTGCAATGGGGAAACAAATGGAGTACGCATCCCTCTTTGTCTCTTTTGAAAGAAAAACTAGAAAGTTGCTCCAACAATTCAGTGCCCTCTCATTTTCTTAGCCGGACAGCCGCTTCAAATTCCTCCAGACCACTGACTTTCTTATTCAATGTTTTCCTAAACAGATCCGGCACTGTAGTGGTAGCATGTTTGCGCACATATGTGTTTCTTCATATGCGAAGATTTTTATACGGAAGTACGAGTGAGAGTCTACATCAAGGCATCCGAAAACAATGCCAGTTGTCCCAGCCCCCCCACATTTTCCGGCACTTGCAAGTCTTCCACAGGCAAAGGGCCGCGTCAACTGCGCGTGAATGATTTGAACGCAGGTCGCTTTGGATGACGCTCGTGATGCTGTGAAAATGCGGGTGCGCGGAGTCCTCAGGTAGCAGAGCAGCAATGGAGGTTTCGCTCTGTTTTGTGTCTTCACACTTGCGTGGCTACGCAGCCTGAGGATTGATTGCTGACAGCATTAGAGTTTTTTTTGCTGTTTTCCGGAGCGTAGCCATGGCAGACCTGCAGAAAAAGCTTGTGGATAATGATGCTTGGACTGCACGTGTGAGCTGCCCAGTTTGGATGAGAGTTGTGCAAGGGCGCGTCGTAGCCCCTGAACTTGAGGACAAGCTTGGCAGCATGGCCCCCGAACGAAATGGCCTCACCTCGGAAGAGGCCAAGAAGCGCATGGCAGAGTATGGTCCCAATGAGATTCCGACTATTGAGAACCTTGGCAATGAAGTTATTCCTGGTCTCTGCTTCAGCTAGGCCACAGTCTCTACAAGAGCCAGAAGAGCCACAGTTACACAGTTGAGCAAAAAAATCGAGCATGGTTTTGAACAAGAAAGAGACGTGCAACGCTCTCGAGCTGAGGACGCCGATTTGGAAGATGATCTTATCGCAATTTGTGGGCACCATGCCTGTGATGCTCGAAGTCAGCTGCATCATATCAGCAGCAGCCGGAGACTGGCCAGATTTCTTTGTGATTTTGGCCATGGTTCTCGTGAATGCCGCGCTTGGATTCCGCGAGGAGATGAAGGCCAAGAACGCCTTGGAGGAGCTCACGAACCAGATGGAATCCTCAATCCCTTGTCTTCGTGACGGGAAGTCGGAGTCGCTTCCGGTTTCCCAGCTTGTACCGGGTGATGTGATCCACCTGCGCGGCGGGGCGCTCACACCGGCCGATGTCGAATGGCTTGATGGCGATGTGCTGAGCATCGACACAGCCGCACTGACGGGTGAACCGCTCCCTCGGAAATACCCCAGCGAGGAGTATGGAAAGCTCATCCTTTCAGGCACAACGGTCAAGAGCGGAGAGGCCTACTGCGTTGTGCGATTGACCGGCACCAACACGGAGATCGGCCAAGGCCAGGCGGACATTATGGCTGACCGGGCAACTGCTTCAGTGTCAGTCTTTGAGCAGAGGGTCATGGTGGTGGTCAACATCATCATCTCCATCGCGGTCCTGGATGCCATTTGCATCGTACTGGTCCAGGGACTGATTCGCGGAGGCTTTGACGTGGACTTCAAAGGAACGCTTCTCACTGCACTGTCCATTTTGATTGCTGCTGTCCCCATCGCACTTCCTCTGGTGCTTCAAGTCACCATGGCAATTGGTGCGTACCGAATGGCCACGGACCACCATGCCATTGTCACGCGAATGTCAGCTTTGCAAGACATCGCATCCATGGACGTGCTTTGCTCGGACAAGACAGGCACTCTGACAACTGCCAAGATGAGCATCAATTTGAGCTTGATCTGGCCTGCGAAGAAAGATGGCTTCGACATTGTCTATTCATCCCTGTCTGGGCAGCCAGACCAGGCCTTGGCACAGCAGCAGCTTCTCATGGTCATGGGCATTATGAGCTCCAATGCAGACAAAAAGGATGATGCCATCGACGGCGCATTGCTGAGGGCCTGGGACAAGATGAAGCAGGAACAAGGTGAAGTTCCGGCAAAGATGAAGGAGGGCTACTCACAGCTGGACTTGACAGGCTTCAATCCCGAGGTGAAGCGAGTCTGAGCTGTGTTTAGGGGTTGGGACTTTTTGGGGGTGTAGGGGATGAGTGGCCACGAGCGTTGTTTAAGGAACCGTGGCCACCGTCAAGCGTCTTGCAGACGGCAAGAAGCTGATCATCGCCAAGGGGCTTGCTTCCAAGGTCATGGACACGTCTTCGGGCGGGCAGGACTTTTGTCTTAGAAGCCATATTCGACGAGGCTGCAAAAGGCTAAGGCTGCGTATCCTTGGGAGACGTTGTGCATCTCTGCTTGAGGACTCCGGTGCTTTGCAGTGGCGCTGCGAGGAATGCAAAGAGGAGGGTTTCGTTGCCATGGTGCAGAAGAAAGACCAGGCTGGTGCTGTTGCCACGACTTCGCAAGATGTTGTGTGCTCAGAGCAGTCTTGACAGCCCCCTACTGTTTGGAAGCAGATGTAGTACTATGTAGTGTAAGAGAGTGTCAAGAAAAAACTGTTTTTGAGTGTGTTGCAGGAGCTTTCGGCTGCCGGCTACAAGACCATCGCCGTGGCAGCAGGTATCGAGGGTGAGGGCATGCACTTCCTGGGCCTGCTGCCCATGATCGACCCCCCAAGGTATGACACGGCAATCACTGTGCGAAGGCTCATGGAAGCAGGTGTTGAGGTGAAGATGATTACTGGTGACCACCTCAATATTGCCATCGAAACTGCTCGCTTGGTTGGTATGGCAACTAACATTTTGCCCGGAGAAGCTACCCGGGAAGGTGGGCACACGGGAGATGAGACCATCCGTGATTCAGGAGGCTTCGCTCAAGTGCTTCCCCGTGACAAGCGTGAATGTGTGCTTGCACTGCAAAGGTCCTTCGACCTTGTGGTGGGAATGACAGGAGATGGTGTGAATGATGCACCAGCTCTTTCCGCTGCGCAGTGTGGAATTGCAGTCGAAGATGCGACGGACGCGGCAAAGAATGCAGCTGCGATGATCCTTACAACAGAAGGCTTGTCTGCGGTCTTCGGGGCGGTTGTTGAGTCGCGGAAGATCTTTGCCCGCTTGTTCTCCTACGTCTCGTACCGCCTTGCAGCCACCATCCAAATCCTGCTTTACTTGAGCATTCTCGTTTATGTTTTCGACTGCACGCTGGACCCCCTTTATGTGATTCTGCTGGCGCTCTTCAATGATGTGACCATGATTCCCGTGGCAGAGGACAACCAGACAGCTGCTGCAGAGCCGCAGCATGTGCCTGGCCTGGAAGGGCTGAGCATCCCAATTCTAGAAAGGACTCAACACCAAATGACTCCTTGAGCCAAAGACGGGTTGGGGGGGGGAGAAGGCCCAGAAGTCCAGTTGACTCGGGTTCTTTCTTTTTGGCGGGGGGAGGTCGCAGTATGAAGTATATACAGTATAGGGTACAGGACATCGCAGCTGAAGCCTTTTGTTCTGATCTTGAAGAGTGCAGATTCCAGGGCCAAGGAAGCGGCTAATGCGTAGCTAAGGCTAAGGCTTGGCCCGCAACAGTATTTGTTTAATGCTTCACGCGGTCTGGAGGGAAGGCACAGGAGAGCAGACTTTCTGTGAAGATGCGTGATGTGGTGTCTATCCTGCCCAGGCAGTCATTGGCAACTTGATTGGCTTCTCCACCACCCTTGGCATCTTTCAATCCCTGGCTTCCATCATCTTTTACCTTTGCATGGACATGGGCTTGGTGAAGGGCATTGAAAGTCACCATACCGCAGGGCACTATCCCAGAAGCGTCCACGCGCAGAACGCCATTTGGCTTCAGGCAAAGGACTTGAATTGTGCTGACTTTCAGGGTTTCAGCCAATGAGCAGAGCTCCAGTTCCAACAGGTATCCATCGCTGCAGAGTTCCTTATCTTCTCTGCGCGGTCTCCTGGTCTCTTCTTCTTTAGCATCTTGCCTGATCCGTACAGCCGAGCATGGTTAGCGCCCGGTGCTTCTGATGTTTCTAATAATCCGAGTGATGACTACTTTTATTTGCTGTCGCAGGCAAGCCTTCCACTGAGCTTCTCGTGTCCACCATGGCCGGCAACATCGTGTCAACTCTACTGGCTCTGTACGCATTCCCTGAGCCTCTGGATGTGGGAGAAGTGATCACCATCTGGATTTTTGACATCGTGGCGCTCATCGCAGTTGACCTTTCGCAGCTAGACTGAAAGTTTTCGGAAGAAGCAAAAGCACAAGCGCGGGTGCACGTACGCGTGCACGATCGTGCACGCGCAGGCGCGCACGAACACATGCACACGCGCTCGTGTGCCTGGGTGCCCACACGCCCACGCGCACGCGTGCAGGCGCACGAGCAGGCGCGCTCATGCGCGCTCATGCGCACGCGTGCACGAGCGTGGGCACGCGCGCATGTGCATGCGCATGCGATCCAGCACACAGGCGCACGAGCGCAAGCGTGCTTGCGCACTTGCGCACAGGAGCTGGCACGAACGCGAGCTTGTATGCACGCGCACGCACGTGTACGCACGCGCACGTGCATCAAGCGCGGTCAAGCGGGCGCACGCAC